ACAAACCCACCAGGGCTGGGAAGGTGGCTCAGTGGTAGAGCGCTTTCCTTGCATGCCTGAGGTCCTAGGTTTGATTCCTCAGCACCACATAAGCAAAAAGAAAAAAGCTGGCAGTAGCACTGTGGCTCAAGTGGTAGAATGCTAGCCTTGAGCTGAAGAGCTGAGGGACAGCGCCCAGGCCCAGAGTTCAGGCCCCACAACCGGACCCCAAAAAAAAAACAAAACCAAAAAACAAGCCCACCATTGAGTAGTACCTGTAACATCTTTCTCACCAATTGCATCTTGCAATATATGATCTCTTTCTCTTCTCATTGTCTTACGTTTTGAAAGAGAAAAGCCTATAGTATTCATAATGTTAACTCTAAGGAAAACTGAGGTACAGAGGGATTGAGTAACTCGGTTGCTCAGTTAATTACTTTTTTTGTAATCCCAACCCAGGACTCCTTATTATGCCACAACAGTAAAAGTTCAATTAAGATTGAGGTCTAGCCAGGTGCTGGTGGCTCACGCCTGTAATCCTAGCTACTCAGGAGGCTGAGATCTGAGGATTGCAGTTCAAAGCCAGCCGGGGCAGGAAAGTCCGTGCAGCTCTTATCTCCAATAAATCACTCGAAAACCGGAAGTGGTGCTGTGGCTCAAGTGGTAGAGCGCTTGCCTTGAGCTGAAGAGCGTAGGGACAGCACTCAAGCCCAGAGATCAAGCCCCACGACTGACAAAAAAAAAAAAGATTGAGGTCTAAAATTTTATTTTTTTTAATTTAAAAATTTTTTGAGTTCAAATGCACTTTATTTTTAGACAACCTTCATGACATTTTTTTTTTTCTTAAAAAGCAATGTCTCCATTCCAGATAAACCATGGTCAAAAGAAACTCTTCAAAAGAAGAGTTCCAGATGACATCAGTCCATTTGTCTTAAGTCTTGATGTTGTGTGGATGATAAGCAGCAGCCAGTTATGGTAACAGATGATAGATCCAAAATAATTGCCCAATTTGTTAAAATTTTAAAGTATTAAAAAAACCCAGAATTAAAGTATGTATTTTACCTGTCTAACAAATTATGATACAGAATTTGACAGAACAGTTTGAAATCAAATTGTATGATTTTATTCACTCCTCCCCTGAGCCCCCCTGGGAGAGATAACATCTTTCTTTAGAGGAGAAGATCATGAGGCTTCTAGGTTTTTAGAACTTGTCCATAGTCACTTGGCAGATTTGGGTTTGAAGGCAGCTGGTAACTGGTATAATTGTGACCAGACCCGTCACCCTCAGAGAACCTCTCTGTGAGATACCTCTTCAGGCTTCATGCCCTCTAACCTCCAGTGAATACTTAAAAAAATTTTAATCCTCATTTTTTTTTTTTTCAGTTGTGGGGCTTGAACTCTGGGCTTGGGCGCTGTCCCTCAGCTCTTCACTCAAGGCTAGTGCTCTACCACTTGAGCTACTCCACCACTTCTGGTTTTCTGGTGGTTAATTGGAGATAAGAATCTCACAGCCTTTCCTGCCCAGGCTGGCTTTGAACTGTGATCCTCAGATCTCATCCTCCCAAGTAGCTAGGATTACAAGTGTGAGCCACTAGCACCCGGCATAAGAAGGTGTTTTAGGTAGAGATCTTAGCAGCAAGACGTGTGACCCAGCAGCAGTGACTCATGCTAGCAAAACCTCCTTTTGAACTGGTGGGGCTCAGAAAAGGATACTTCAAAGTATGGTGCTTTGAAGCCCTTTCAGTACTAAGCATTCTCTCTGACCTTCTTCTCCTTTTTCTTTTTCTTTCCTTCCTCTTAAATGTAAATCATAGAAACTAGAATTTCTCATCACCACCATGATGATAGAAACTAGAACTCATTTCCCTTGAAGTAAGCCACAAAGCCTAGAAATATTACTGGAGCCATTGTGTAGGATAGGTGATCATAAGGCCCTCATTCCAGAGGATTCTGTCCATATCTGGGTATAAGGAATGCTCTATAGAGACCACAAAGAATCACAGCAGTCACACCTTCCTTTTTTGACCCACTCCCACTAGATCATACCCTTTTGTCCAGTTACATTTCTACCCAGCTGCCCATTCAAATAGTTTTTTAATCTTGTTTAGAAGGTTCTGCAGTTGCCATGTTAATTTTATTTTATTTTTGCTGGGAATTGAACCCAGGACCTCAAGCTTGGTAGGCATGTAACAGACTATGGAGCTATGTTCCTAGTCCTTCAGCCTTTTAATTTTGTTTTTGAGATAAGGTTGTGTTAATTTGCCTCAAGCTGTTTTCAAACTCAAGATGCTCCTACATCTGCCTGGGAAGAAGCTGAAACTATGAGTGTGTACTACCACACCCAGATTAACCTGTCGTTTGTTATATGATGTTGGCTACTACTAGGCAAAGCATAGATTGATCTAGTAGGAAGCAGAGAAATCTCATATTGAGTTGGATGTCCTCCACAAAACAGATGGGATTGCTTCTTATGGTGCTGGTCAGCAAGGCTGCTAGTAAAGTTGTAAATTCACTGCTATGGTGCTATGCTATTTCCTTTCTGGAAAATAAGAAGTATGTGGGGAGTTTGGGAGGGTGGAGTTTAGTGGTAGAGTACTTGCTTAGAATGTGTAAGGCTCTATGTTTAATCCTCAGCACCAAAGAGAAAAACTGATTTTGTTGATTGATGGACTAGTAATAGGTATAGTAGTGCTCCTAAACCACAGAAGATGAAAGACTTTCAGACTTCAGATAGTATGTTTTTTGCTTATACCTATCCAATCGATAATATATGTGTACAATATAACAAGCTTTATAAACTAGGGACAGTAAGAAGTTAACAGCAACGATAATAAAATTACACAGTTGTATCAGGCTATTGTAATAAAAGTTATTTAAAACTTATGACATTTATTTCTGGAATTTTCCATGTATTATTTTTGGACCAAGGATGACTGTGGGTAACTGAAACCACAGAGAGTGAACCCATGGACAAAGTGGGGTGTTATGACATCGGATTGCTCCCTGGGATGGGGGGCTGAGCTCAGTGGCTAGCAACCTACACTTTTTCCAGGGACACAGGAGGCTGACCAATAGGTGGCTAGGGTGTCCTCCTCACTTCCTACACTCACAATGGAGGGAGGACATTCTCTTTTCTTGGCCTTGGTACCCCTAAAGTTCCATTTACTCTTCTCCTCTGGTTTAATCTGGCCGGATTGAGGTTGGGGTTGGCCCTATCCTCCTTATCTCCTTAGCACCGGTTAAAATATCCCTATAACTCTCCCCCCACCCCCATACTATTTCTGTTTTTAGAAACTAGAAGCCTTGACTACAGTGCTGGCTCCTCCTCAGCTAGGTTGGCTGCCCAAGGCTTGCTGGGTTACTGAGGGCATGTCACAGCATTTGTCCATCACGGCTCTGGACGGTGAGAACAGCTTTCCACAAACCAAACCACCCCAACCCCAGACAAACTTATGGGACTTTGTAAAGTCTCTGAGGGCATTTCATTTCCTTTTCTTGTACAGTTGTTTAAAAATAAATAGCAAAGACTTGTCATAACAGTGAGGGGAATTGTGTTTAGAATGCTGCTCCCCCACTTCCCAATTCCTCCTACCTTTGCAAATGACACTGTTGAGGCCTTTGAAAATGTAAGTGGGTTTGACACAGTAAGAAATAGATATTTAGCTTCTGCCCCCACTTCCTGGCATATAGCTTCTAAAATGCTTAGATTCTTGGAAATGATGTGTTTGGGGAGGTTAATGAAAGGACTGATGGCTAGAGGCACTTGGAGAGTTGTAGAGTAAGATTGGTTGCCAAGGGAACCAACCCAGGGATTGGAGCATTGGAACCTTCAGCTCCCCCTTCTCCATTTCTGGGGAGGGGAGAGCAGCTGAGGGTTGAATTGATCACCGTTGGCCAGCCATGAGGATTTCATAAAACCCCAAGAACTTCTAAATTTGTTGAACAATCTGCATGTATTTAACCTTCCCACAAGAACGGCAGGACTTACCATTGCAGGGATAGAGAACTTTCCCTAAGTTTGAGCTGCCTCCACCTTTCTCAGGGTGCTTGTGACCCAGTCCCGTTTTTGCCTCGTTGGCAGCACAGATCAAGTGCCACTGTTTATGGCTCTTTATAGTGGGGTTCCAATGTGTCAGGTCTGATACTCACCCCAAAACACCAAACACAGGGATGTGGGGTGGTAAAGATAGGAGCTTTATGATGCAACATGGACACATGGAAGGAAGAGGCAAAGTAAGCACTTGAGCCCAAGTTTGGGCTACGGACATGAGCTCCACATATAAATACAGAAAGGATTGGATAGGGGCCAAAAGTATGCATAACTTTTGAACCATGCAGGCAATGTGGTCTGGTTGGTCAGGCAAGGCTTTGCTGGCTTTGTCACTAGGAAAAAAAAAGTTGGGGACTGGGAAGGTGGCTCAGTGGTAGAGCACTTGCCTTGCATGCATGGGGCCCTGGGTTTGATTCCTCAGCACCACATAAGCAAAAAGAAAAAAAGCCGGAAGTGGCACTGTGGCTCAAGTGGTAGAGTGCTAGCCTTGAGGTGAAGAGCTGAGGGACAGCGCCCAGGTCCAGAATTCAGGCCCCATGACCGGACACACACACACACAAAACAAAAAGTTGGTGCCCAGGGAATAGATTCCACTCTTGTCCCAAGATGTCTATCGGTCTGGCCTGTTCTTAGAAGGTGACTTGCTATGTAACTGTAGGAGCAAATGGCTCCGAGCAAACACAGAAGCAAACTGAAGGAGCATTTGCAGGCCCAAGTGAAGAGTTAGTACTTTTAGCAAAAGTCATTTATAGGCACCTCCTTTGGCTATGGTGTCACTAGGATCCAGGAACCAGCAGTAAAGAGCAGGCTGTTCTTTTATATCAGCTCGCAGCTTGCCTGCTTCACATCTCCTTGTGAAGCTCAGACATTGTCACCTGAGAGAAACCTGTTTGAATCCCTTGACTGGGTATTTGGCCTCCCTGTGTCCACAGAGAAATCTTAGCGGTCAATGTTTTCTTTTGCCTGGCAGGGAAATTGTGCCAGAAGAAGGACGGAGGGGATAAAGTGAAGAATGAAGCCGAGGGCAAGCAACGAAAAGAAGGACAGACCTTTGATATTTATTGGAGATGAGCCACAGTTGATATGAAAATGCATCAGCAAAGACAGTAACTCTTCCTGCCAAGGTGGGTGTGGCAGCAGGCTGGCTCCCCTCCCTCAGCACCATACTCATCACTAAGTTGTGCCATCAGAAACTCAGGGAAACAGCATGATCTTTCTTGGCATTTCTAGAACATTCTTAGTCAGAGATGTTTGACCACAACCAAAGGCAAGCAAGAAACACCTATCTAGACTACATCAGATTACATCAGGCAAAGAAAACTCTAGTGTGATACCCCTGCTCCTATTGGTGCTAGGAGAAAATGCTGCAAGACTAATAATGCAGCCACTGTCTACTCATTATTAATACCATTTACTGACATTTTAGGTGTGAGAGACCCACCCTAAGTTGTTTCACACTAGAGCTGGGACTCACACTGATTTTTCTCAAACTCCAACTAAGCTCTGAGCTCAGATTTCAGTGTTAAATTGATAATTATTTTTAGTAGGGCAGAAGGAGATAGAAACATGCCACAAAACCATTATGATCAAAGACAATAAGACTATATGAGAGGTGCCTGTTAGTGGGGTTTCAGCATCCAGTGGAATTGTAAGGTTGGAGGATAGGGCGGGCTGATGTGAGGGAGAGTGGGTAGGATAAGTATTTTTAAGCCTTTCTGAGTGTGTTTCTAGAAGGAGGTCATAACTGAGCTGCCTGCAGATATCTTTGCTTTCCTTACAATTTATAATTTACAATTACTTTGAATGAGTTGCTAATGCTTAAGGACAGAATATTGCACATATGAATCAATATATTCAGCAGAGAATAGAAAGATTATATATAGGAGCTTGTTTGGGAATTTTCCACATTGAAGAAGAACGCCTTGTTAGCAAACTATTATTTACTAATGACTAGTAAAAAGTAAATTGGTAAACATGTTTGTAGTCTATTAAGATAAAAATATTTTGGGCATTTAAAACCAAGGAAATATTGGAAAATAGTATGGAAAAACGAAAGGAGAGATTAGAATTAAAGCATTTTAAGCGGCCAAGGTATTCTTTTCCTGAAAGGAAATAGAAGAGTTGATTCATATTAGGTTCTTATTTAAGTAGCATCAATAAAGAGTAATTGGTAAAATAATAAAGTATAATTTAAAATTTTTAAGCAAGTAGAGGGAATAAAAAGAGTACAAAGGCATAAAGGCAAAGCCCCACTTGAAAAATAGCTAGAAGCAAAAGAATATGATCTAGAAATTGCACGATAGAGCTGGGTACAGTGGCTCGTGCCTGTAATCCCATATACTTCAGAGACTGAGATTAGATCATGATTCAGGTTCTGCCTTGACAAAAAGTTTTGAAATCCCTTTTCAACCAATAACTAGGCAAGATAGTTCAGGTCTCACATCCCAGCTATGTGGTGGCTGAGATCAGGAGGATCACAGATCCAGGATAATTTAGGCAAAATTGTTCCTGATACTACTTTCAATGAAATAAGGTGGGCCTGATGATATGTGCCTATTTTCAAAGTTACAGCAGAAATGACTAACAATATGTAAGAGAGCCTAGATTTCACTAATAATCAGAGTAAAACATAAGGGATACAACTTCAAACCTTTAAGATTGACAAGCAGGATTATGACAATATCAAGAAAATTTTGGAAATGGAAACTTATACATTGCTTGAGGGTATCTGAGTTTGCTGGTTTTTTTTTTTTTGTTTTTGTTTTTGTTTTGGCTAGCTGTGGTGCTTGAATTCAGGGCCTTGTGCTTTTTTGCTTGGAATTTTTACTCAAGGCTGGTGTTCTACCTCTTGAGCCACACCTCTACCTCTCTGGCTTTTTGCTGGCTAGTTGGAGGTAAGAATCTCATAGAGTTTTCTGCCCAGAATGGCTTTGAACCTCGATCCTCAGATCTTAGCATTTTAAGAAGCTGGGATTACAGGTATGAGCTACCAGTGCTATGTAGCAAACTTTGTAATAGGGCAGGCATGTTGATTGACTATCCTAAACCCCTTCTCAAAAACGTGTGCCTTTGCCGGGTGGTGGTGGCTCATGCCTGTAATCCTAGCTGCTCAGGAGGCTGAGATCTGAGGATTTTGGTTCAAAGCCAGCCTGGGCAGGAAAGTCCGTGAAACTCTTATCTCCAATAAACCACCAGAAAACTGGAAGTGGTGCTGTAGCTCAAGTGGTAGAGCGCTCTCCTTGAGCTGAAGAGCTGAGGGACAGCACTCAGGCCTGGAGTTCAAGCCCCACGACCACCAAAAAAACAAAACAAAAACAAACAAAAAAAACCTTGTGCCTTCTCTGCATTCTACTATAGTGGATAGGCAACCCAAATAATAACTTTGTCTTTCTTCTTATGTCTGATGATGGCCTAAGAACTCATTTCTAGCTAATGAGAAGGAGAACGTTTGCTGGTTTCAGGCACCTTTCCCACTGCTTAGTTTTGAATACAATATGAGGAAACAGTGTTTGAAACTGCTGTGGCTGTGTTAAGACATGGAGGGGAAGGTCAAGAGGTTAAGGCATTAATCTCTCAGCCATCAAACTGCTTCTAGCCACATCTTTCTCTTGAAGCTACATTTCCTCATGCAGAAGTATATATGTGTTCCTCATTGATCCTAAGGTCTAGTGATTGTCTTTCTAGGTGAGCCAGCCTAGAGAAATTCAGTTATTTGAAAGAATTTTTCATTGTTTATAAAACTAATTAAAAGCAACCTGAATGGTGGTGGTTGAGAAAGAGGAAAAAGAAATCATGGTGCTATCTGTAGTTAAAATAAATGAGCTGGATCAGTATATATCAACATGGACAAATCTTACTTTAGTTTTGAATGAAAGGAGCATGCTAAAGAAGTTAGGTATATAGCGTTTGATAGCATTTATGTTATTTATTTTGTTAATTGTGGTGGGTTTGAATTCAGGGCCTTGTACTTGCTCTGCCACTTGCTCACATTTACATGGTCAGTTCTCATGGATGACTTTTTTAAACACACACATCAATATTTTACATATATATTGTATATGTATGTATGTAGATATATACATACATGTACACAACACATTCGTAAACATACCCATAAATCTATGTGTGTATGCTGTGAAACTATGGACAGAATGATATATACAAACTTTAGATTACTTTTCATGTCCAGGGGAGGAGAAGAGGAGGATCAACACTGATTACAAAAAAGATATGAGACATAGCATTTACAAGTCTGAGTGTTGAGTATATGTTATTATTTTCTGTATATTAAGCTATTTTAAATGAAAGGACAAAAGAAAACAACAATGCTGGAGACAGGAAAGGGAATAGAGGAAGAAAAGGAATGGCCAAAAAAAAAGAAAAAAGATAAAAAGAAAAGGAATGGCCAAATTTTGGAAGCCATTGTAATGGTTCAGATCTCCTGAAGGTCTGAACTGAACTGGGTCAAGACCAGGAAATGGAAAGAAGACAACCCTGGCATGTATTTTAGAGACAGTTGAGCTATAGAAGAAACTACATACATGGCAATAACTTTTCAGTTTAGTTTTTTTTGAATGGAAAATGTATGTGATATAAAATATACTACTCTATTTTTAAGAATAATTCAGTGATATTCACATTATTATATAACCTTCTTCAGAACTTTCTCATCCCATAAAACTGGAATTCTGTACTCAATAAACAGGAATCTCCCATTTCTCCTCCTCTCAAGCTCTAGAACCACCATTTTACTTTCTGTCCTTAAGAACTGGACACCTGTTGGTATCTCATATGAATGGAATCAGAGTATTTGTCCTTTGGTTGCTGGCTTCTTTCACTCTGTATCATGTACTCAAGATTTAATCATGATGTCAGATGTGACAGAATTTCTTTATTTTTAAAAACTAGCTCTTGATAATTTTTTTTGGTGGTACTGGAGGGCATCATACCTGTGAGGCAGGTGTTATACAACTGAACAGTGCTTTGATTTTCATATTTTTTTGAATGGAGACTCACATTCCCCCACCCCCTCAAGGTCAGCCTGGACCATGATTCTCTTATTTATGCTTATTTATCCCAGCATTATATCAGATATTTGTTGACATGGAATCTCACTAAGTTTTGTCTGTGGCCTTGAACCACAGTCCTTCTGATGTCTGACGCCCCAGTAGCTTGGGTTATAAGTATGAGTCACCACACTCGGCAAGACTGACTGCTTTAAGTATGGATATAGAAGTATGAGGATGATTAGCTATGTGGTTGGCACAAACATGCAGAATAGTGTTTTAGGGTGAAGGCATTGAAATTAGTTGAACATTTGTATCTACTTAAATATTATGAAACTTGATTAGTCTTTTGAGCTAGAATTTACTAATAGCTTCTTTTTTTTATTACCCTTATAGATTATAACCTAGGTGCACTGAGTAGCTGGAAGAATTTATTAATAGAGTTCTTAACACAGTCCCTGACACTGAACAAATACACTTATTGTTATAATGATTTCTTCCCAATGATGCGTTACATTTGATGTTCTTCCTGTACCATATTTTGAATCTTCTGGAATATAGCATACCACTTTATGAATATGTAAAATTAATAATTGAATGTTATATTCCAAGTTATTTGTTATGATACTAAGGATGAGTTCAGAGCTCTTACCTTGCTGGGCAAGTGGTCTACCACTTGAACCATACTTCCAGACGTTTTGCTTCCAGTTAGTTTTCAGATACGGTTTTATGCTTTTGCCAGGGATGGTCGTGGACTAGAATCCTCCTGCCTTTGCTTCCTGTATAGTTTTTTTTTTTTTTGTCGGTCGTGGGGCCTGAACTCTGGGCCTGGGCGCTGTCCCTCAGCTCTTCAGCTCAAGGGGAGCGCTCTACCACTTGAGCCACAGCGCCACTTCCATGCCTTTGCTTCCTGAATAGCTGAGATTACAGCAGACATCACCAAGCCCTACAGGAAGTTTTTATGGGTCAAAGTCTGGATTTTATAATTGAGAAAACTTCTAAGTAACTAGTTTTCTATTCCATGACTTTTTTCCTACTCTTAAGGATCAAAAGAATTTTTATTGAAACATCTTATTAAAATTTCGGGCCTATCAAACTTGAATTTTCGTTTA